TTTTGAATGCTCACTGGCGCGTCGCGTGCGTAATAGAATACATTACAGTCAGCAATCTAGTTCTCCTATATCTATGGTTTAGCTTGTAGAAACACCACATAAATTTATTCAGAGGCGCCGGAATATCGATAATTGGGGGGCAGATATTCATATATTCGTGTTCTGCCCAATTAATTTCTTTTGAAATCGATTGTTTTTACAGTCTGTGAACACGAATATATGAATATCTGCCCCCGCTATTATCGATATTCCGGCGCCTCTGAATTTATTACTGCAAAGCTTTCGATCCGTAAGCCCGGATCTTCATCAGTGCTAATAATATATACATAATATTTACGTGGTGTTTCCACATTATAACATCTAAAGAGTTTGAATTTTTGCACAAAAATTGCGCAACAGCCGTTGCTATGACAACGATGACGTTTCAATATGGAAAATATTTTGGCTTTAAAGTAATTTATTTTTATTTTATGTATAGAATGGTTTCTCTTAGTATATTGAATTACGTTGATAATTTAAAAACAATTCTGTTGAGCCGAAATTTTTCAAATTACGTAAATGTGATTACTCATAATAATATTTTCTTGCTCAACAGAATTTTCTTGAAATTGTCAAAATAATTGATTATACTAAGAGAAACCATTTTTTGAAATAAAATTTGAGAGTCACCGATGTCGTTGTCGATGTCGATACGAGATAAATCCTAATTCTAATTCTATCCGCCTTCTTGAAAAGTCATTGTTGCCATAGCAACGCAGTTGCGTTACTTTTGTGAACTGCTTAGATGTTGTTTTATATCAGTAAGATACCTTAGTATATGTTTTTCAGCAAGTAATGATTGTCCAAAAATGCGGATCTGAATAATGAATTTTCCATTTTTTTAATTCTGTATTTAGCCACCTTAAAATTTAAATCCATTTTAAGGTTATATATTATATGATGAAACTCGAATTTTGTCAAAAAAATGTTTTATATATATTCATATTTAGTAATGATATATCTCTCAATTCCAGCAACTTTTTTTAAGAAAATGTTAAAAAGCGACCAAGATATAGGGGGAAATGCTATGACCACTGAATAGCTTTGCGCGAAACTTTTAATTATGATTGAACTTTGCTGGCGTCAAATATCAAGGTGTGAAATTCACTAAAGTATAAGCCGTTTGTTTATATTGTTCGGAGGCATATACCATTGCGGCAACTTTAGAAAGCTTCTAACATAGTATTTACAGAATCTCTCGAAGTTCAAGCTATGCGCGATCGGATGTCGGCTTCGGTGACTTTTTTGCTGCGTTTGCGTTTTGGCTTAGACGTTTCAGTTACTGTTTTTTCGCGCTTCGCTGACTATAATTATATTCTGTAATTTTGGTTGTTTGCGATTGGTTAACCGCAAGAGGTGACAAGTGGATTAACATTGGGGGCGGAGAAAACGACAGAAAGAGTGGAAACCTCGCCAAATCTTATATGGTCGTTTTCCTTCATTCTGCTTTCATACGAACGACTTAATTTCAGCGAGAAGGAAATTAACATAATATGATCTTCTAATGTATGTAAAAAATCTTGAAGAAACAAAAATAGAATAAATAATTTCAATATTGATTATTGAAAGTTCTTTTAATTACTTTCAAAAACTCATTAATAATTCATGAAGCAATTATTCAATCTTGAGTAAGAAATTAGTCACGTGCATACGTCTTTATACCAGCTAAAGAACACTTTAACAAAAGATTTTTATATAGAGATTTTTATATAAAGATTTTTATATAAAGATTTGACTTATTATGGAAACGTTTTTGAAGTACTATTTCAAAACGAGCAGGAGTGTTTTATTAAGTTTAAAAGCACGAGCGTGCAGCGCGAGTGGCTTTAGACCTAATAAAACACGACCTGCGAGTTTTTTTAATGGCTTCAAAAACGTTTGCATTATAAGTCAAATCTTTATATAAAAATCTTTATATAAAAATCTTTATATAAAAATCTTTATATAAAAATCTTTATATAGTTTGCATAACAATGGTCTTTTGTTAAAGTGTTCTTTAGCTGGTATAAAGACGTATGCACGTGACTAATTTTTTACTCAAGATTGGATAATTGCTTCATGAATTATTAATGAGTTTTTGAAGTACTATTTAAAAAACGAGCAGGAGTGTTTAATTAGGTCTAATGCCACTCCCGCTGCGCGCTCGTGGCTTTAAACCTAATAAAACACTCCTGCTCGTTTTTTAAATAGTACATACAGCTTTTCTAGTTACAACAACATACATACATACAACTGACCCCATTGTGCTATTTTGTTCTCTACAAATGGTGGCACTTAATTTAATGCTATGAAATAATATTTTCTCTGTAGAAAATAGTTGTCCGTGCAAATGGAATTATTTCGATGGTGGTTGTTACTATATTAGTCCGGGAACAGCCAATAATTGGCTTGCTGCACGAGCTGATTGTCGCGCACGTGGTGGAGACTTGGTTGTGCCAACAAGTAAGATAAATAATCAGCACATTTACGAGGTTATAAAAGCGAGCAACGTCGGCACAGCATACATTGGTCTCTTTAAGGAGGACAGAGGTCTTGGAACTAATAAGATTTACACCGTGCATGGCGTCGAGCCATCCTATACAAACTGGTTGCCAGGGGAGCCAAATGATTCTGGAGGAATCGAAGATTGCGTCGAGCTGGTGTACAAATCACGTTTTTGGAAAAATGGCGGCGATGTTGGTGGACAATGGAATGATCTGCCATGTAACGGCTACCCTCGTCATTTTGTCTGTCAAATGAGCTCCCAAAGTTAGGAGAACAAGCTATATACGCCGTTTCAAACTTTTTCATGGAACTGTGTATAAAAAAGTATTGTAACTTATATGATTTATAACATAGACAAGAGTATCAAGTAATTATAATCTTCACATATATTGTCACAGCACAATTTAAGCCAAATAATAAATATTTTCGTTTCAACTGCAGTTAGACCACATTAGAATATCCATACTGGAGAATGGCTTTTGTTCCGCGCATTCACATCACCTCTTATTTTCGCACAGCCATTGCACTGTCACAGTCTATGCAAGTTTTTTCGTTCATGCTGTTTTGTAAGAGATTCCATCATAACATTGTTCAAATATAGTGATAGGTCTTGCTTAAGAACTCAAAGCTGCAAATATCTGCAGTTAGTTTATGCCATCAGATACACAATATTGTGTTAATATATATCTGGTGGTTCTCTTTAGGCCTACTCTGGGGCGGTAAATCGCCTTAAATCGCCTAAAATCGCACTAAATCGCGGATTAAAATTGTCGAATTTCTCTTAAATCGCCTAAAATCGCCTAAGATCGCTTAAAATCGCCAACATGCATTCTGCTTGATACATTCAGTCCATGTACTCAAGTTTATCAATTGCTGCTATTTTACGGGCAAATCATGTAATCCAGGTGCTTTGCAATGAAAGTAATGCAACATGAATTAGCAATCAAATAAGTGGATTAGGCTGACAATATTTGGTCACTCAATAGGCACCGGTCATTGACAAAAACAGCGCCTTTTCTGCTTTATGCAGACTTTACAATAATTAGGTAATTCTGGGATCTGAAAGACCCATAGATCCGATACACTGCAAGCAACAAAATTGAGCTAGTTACCAGAATGAGCTAATTTCATTATTGGTGTAAATGGAGGCTGGGCTACAATTTATATGGACTATGGAGGCTGGGCTACAAATTAATCTATAATCTAGCTATATTGCTGTTAAGCCTGGTTCACATGTCTGCGATATGCCTGCGACGTCATTGTTTACAGCTGTTGATGCATTCTTTTGTGAATTATTTGGTTGAACTGCTAAGACAATAGCCCGCCGACACATCGCAGACATATGTGAATCAGGCTTTAATTAGAACAACAGTAGGAAACTACGAAAGTCAATGAGTACGAGTGTTGATTTATATAATAAAGTCATCGTGTAATTTATGCACTGTTGCATGTAAGATCGAGCACTGCATTGTATACAATGGTTGTACTTCGACATGTGCATGGTTATACTCTAGCTCCTAGTTATAATTATAGTCGCTAATTGACTCGCTATCAAACGAAAAATATACGTGAGGTTATGAGCGATTTGCAACTCTCGTCTATTAAATTTTCCAGACCTGTAAATACAATAAACAGTAAAACAATGATTACATCTTACATACCATACAATAGATCTTTTGGTGTTGTTTGTTTGCAGAACCTAAAACCACGATGTAGTGAGCCATTTGTTTAACAATTAACGCTGTACTATTGGGCTATTCCATTTAATATCCGTACCCCCCCTGTCGAGGATACATGTTTTTCATTGTCATACCCCTGAAGAATTCCAAGCTCAAAACTGTTTACCCCTGAAGAATTCCAAAATTCCAAGCTCAAAACTCTTTACCCCTGAAGAATTCCAAGCTCAAAACCTTTTGCCCCTGAAGAATTCCAAAATTCCAAGCTCAAAACCCTTTACCCCTGAAGAATTCCAAGCTCAAAACCTTTTACCCCTGAAGAATTCCAAGCTCAAAACCCTTCACCCCTAAAGAATTCCAAGCTCTGAAAAATTTCAATCTCAAACCTCTTTACCCCTGAAGAATTCCAAGCTCAAAACCCTTTACCCCTGAAGAATTCCAAGCTCAAAACCATTTACCCCTGAAGAATTCCAAGCTCAAAACACTTTACCCCTGAAGAATTCCAAGCTCAAAACCCTTTACCCCTGAAGAATTCCAGGGATCCTCGACAGGGGGGGGGGGGTACGGATATTAAATGGAATAGCCCATTTTGGTTTTAATTTTAAAATAATTTATAATTCCTACCATTTATATACGATATACTTCATGTAATTTAAACATTACGGCATTACGCCGACAGTTTTCGAATGCGTGACGATACTGTTTCTGGATATGGCACTGGGATATCATATGATGTAGATATCAAAAAATTTATAAATATGTTTGTAGCATGAAGAAAGCACGAGATTGAAACAGTTTAAATAAAATGCAAGCTAAATAAAGAAGTTTTGACATGATAGAAAACAAGACAATTTCACTTACAAGGGTGACAAGGTAAATTATGGGATTATAGCCTATTCAGTTATACTGTACAAATACACTTATTTGTGTGTTTCTACCCCCTACTCCTTGTGATTTTTTGGAAATCAAATATTTATTATATTTTGTAATTTTAACTCGATATGTGTAGTGCATGCCCCTTAAGTAGAGTATATTAACTGTTTACAATATTTGTGGTGTATATAAATGTAGCTATGCAGGGTGTTAGCCAGAAAAAAAAATTTTGTCCGTTAAACGTAAATTGGGAAAGTTTTAACTGGACTTAGCTGAATATTTTTCCCAAAATTCTTGGCGAGCGGGAGGGGGGTGGGGGTGGGGGGTCACCAAAAAAAATTTTCAGGAGATATCAAAGAAATATTCCGTAATTTCCGCCAAATCCGAAAATTTTTCCACAGAATATTGAAATTTAAAAATTTCCCCAATTTCGACCAATTTCGCATTGATTTTCGCCCGACCATTAAAATTTTGGGGGACACGTGCTAATTTTCCAGTAGACCCAGTTGGGAAAGCCCTCAATTGGGAAGAGTCCGTCAAACGGACAGCATATGGGCTAGCTAACACCCTGCTATGACCCCCAAGATGAACCCCAATGGCTTCTAAATAGAGAATGGGTGAAAAGTTCATGAATATTGAGCTTTATATGTGAATCAGGTTAAATACAATAATTAACCTAGCCTTATATAAAACGTACATACATGTTCTAATAATTGTATTTTGCTTCATACAATGCATATGTGTGTGGAAACATTACATTATTTTTCAGCTCACTCCCCACATTGGGGCTTTTCAGTGATCGATTACATCAAGTACTATGATTACTTATGTTAGCCTAGACTATCAACAACCGACAGCCTGACAACCTTTCACCATCTATATTACATATGACAGATATTAACTTCTATGCACTGTAATGTACAAGCTGTGATTGTTGTTGTAGTCTCCCTCGTAAACCTCTTTGTGTTTTTAATCCACGAGCAAGGCTACCGACAACAGTTGGTGCTCATCAACATAACCGGATGTCGTCTTCACTGGATTTTCCGACCAAAACTGATATGTTTGCTGTATTACGTGTTTCTGCGTGTTCGTTTTGCCGATTGTGCGCATTTTCTTGAGGGGGTCGATGGATGGGGTTTAGGCCTGATTTAATTTAAGCTCCATTCTATTTTAGATACAGTTACATGTGGTCACCATGTAAATGAGTTATATATCCATCACATGACAATGAAATTAACATAATACTAGGTTACCTAAAATGTAGTAAATGCTGCCTTTAAGAAGCACACGCCATTTATTTTCGGCATAACCATTGGCAACTTGGATGGTTATGTCATTGACTGTCTTCGGCATAACGATTCAACTTGGATGCCTATGCCGTTTAATGTCATCGGCATAACCATTCAACTTGGATGTTTATAATTATGCCGTTGACTGTGGTTGGTATAACCATTCAACTTGGATGTTTATGCCGTTGACTGTGGTCGGTTTAACCATTCAACTTGGATGTTTATGCCGTTGACCGTGGTCGGCATAACGATTCAACTAATTGGATGATTATGCCGTTGAAAGTCATCGGCTTAATCTTTCAACTTGGATGTATATGCCGTTGACTGTCTTCGGCATAAAAATTCAACTTAGATGGTTATTCCATTGACTGTCTTCGCCATAGCCATTCAACTTGGATGTCATCAGCATAACCATTCAACTTGGATGGTTATGCCGTTGATTGTCTTCGGCATAACCATTCAACTTGAATTATGCCGTTGAATGTTTTCCGCATAACCATTGGATGTTTGTGCCTTCGGCGTAACGACTGGATGTTTATTCCATAACCATTGGATGTTTATGCCGCATAACGATTAAACTTGGATGTTTATGCCGTTGACTGGCCTTGGCATAACCATTCAACTTGCATGGTTATCCCGTTGAATGTCATCGCCACAACCATTCAAATTGGATGGTTATGCAGTTGAATGTCATCAGCATAACCATTCAACTTGGATGTTTGTGCCGTAGACTGTCTTCGCCATTACCATTCAACTTGGATGGTTATGCCGTTGAATGTCATTGGCATAACCATTCAACTTGGTTGTTTGTGCCGTTGACTGTCTTCGCCATAACCATTCGACTTGCATGGTTATGCCGTTGAACGTCATCGCCACAACCATTCAACTTGGATGTTTATGCCGTTGAATGTCGTCGCCATAACGATTCAACTTGGATGTTTATGCCGTTGATTGGCCTCGCCATAACCATTCAACTTGCATGGTTATGCCGTTGAGCGTCATCGCCACAATCATTCAGCTTGGATGGTTATGCCGTAGAATGTCGTCGGCATAACCATTCAACTTGGATGCTTATGCTGTTGACTGTCTTCGGCATAACCATTGAACTTGGATGGTTATGCCGGTGAATGTCCTCGACATAACCATTCAACTTGGGTGGTTATGCCGTTTAATATTCATGTCATCGACATAACCATTCAACTTGGATATTTATGCGGTTGATTGTGGTCGGCATAACCATTCAACTTGGATGTTTATGCCGTTGATTGTGGTCGGCGTAAAGATTCAACTTGGATTGTTATGCCGTTGAATGCCTTCGGCATAAGGCATAACCATTCAACTTTGATGGTTATGCCGTTGAATGTCGTCGGCATAACCATTCAACTTGGATGTTTGTGCCGCTCACTGTCTTCGACATAACCATTCTTCGGC